GGGGGGGAGAGGAAATCTTGAGATCCTAAAGAAAAACCCTCAGATCAAAAATGATAATCAACAAAACTTAACCCATATAAGACTGGATCACGTATCTGAAACTAGCTAGGTCACATTGGTAGGAGGCAAGTACTTTGACCACTGCAGTATCGCTCCTCCCTACTCTGAAGAGGGTTTAACCCATAACGTTGATTTCTTTGTGCTGCTATTGTCAAATAATTTCAATACTGACACCATAACACAGTAGCTGATCAACAAAGGTTGTGAAGCAAATGCTTAGCTCTCTCTGCACTGCCCCTTGCTGTCCCTTTTTTGGGAAATATATGAGATCTAGTGAGATTTTTATGGTACAATATTAGAGAAACCAGGTCCTGCAATATTGGATGTTTAGTAATTTTGCTGTCACCTCGAAAATTCTGATCAGCACACATAATGCAATAGTTTTAAGATGGCCACCAGGGATTTCTACACATCACATAAATTTTCAAAGCGACGATCATGGTATCAATGAAATAAAAATATTTAACTTTTTCATGATCTCAGCACTTGTGTAGGAAATGTCTGGCTCCAGTCTTAGGAATGATGGAAGCAGTAGTTTAGAGGTTTTCATTTTGTTTGTGGTGCTGTCACCTGCTGTCAATGTGGAAAAAATATCCTGCCTGGTATCTTTAAGAGAGATCTGCTACTATAAAGTTTACTATTATACCCTGGGTATGAAGCTTGAAATTTTGATTGATCTAACTGATTACCTTACATCAGGATGCCTGCATACACCCGGGCGCACATTTATGTCAATTCTGGAAAATTCATCCTTGTCCAATATACTGACATAATTTATGCATCACATTGTTCTTTTTTATTGTTTTGTATTGTTCTAGGATTTTATTGTTATGTCAAAACACCCACAATGCTATGGTTAGTTAAGTAAGTGTGAGTGTTGGTCACAGCCTGTATTGCCAGTCTCCTTGGTTTCTCAGATGCTGGAGATTTTTTCAAGAGCATGACCATCACTAACAATTGAATCAGTGAACAGATTGCTTTCTTCCAATTTTGGATTATTATCGTGCTGTTTTCCATGGATGTGGTAAAGAGAATGAAGAAGCCGTGGAATGCCTACAAAGACGAGGTGGTAGAATAGTCTTGAATACTGCCCATTTGTCCACCGAACAGATGGTTACAAGTCTGTTGGAACACTCTTACAAGAAGAAGAGAAAACCAAATTGTTAAACTGGTTGAAAAGTGTCTCAAGGGAACAGCCCCAAGTTATTTTGCCAAATATTTTCAACTTAGAAGACATAATATTGATGATTATGATATTAGGAATAAGAACAAATTGGTTATTGTTAGGGTAAAATTAGAATTGACTAAAAGAGCGTTTTTTTTTTTATAAAGGGGCGGATATTTTTAATAATTATATATGAATTTAGTTCCAGTCTTTTTTTCTCTTTTTTTATGTATGTTTTTAGATTTTTGCATGTTTTATATTTTATTTTATTAATTATTCGTTGATTTATTTTACGCGGAACCCGCATAAAAGAACAAGTGGATTAAGAACGCTCAGGCTGAAATTTGGTCAAAAAGGTACCATATACATAAGAACACATTCAGCCTGAAAGATGAAATTGTTCTTACATAAAACAAAATTGGCTGCCAGTTAGATTAGAATAACCTACTATGGTACAGTACTAAGTATAGCACTAAGTAGATCAATATATGAGCTATTCGTTAATTAATTAAAATGTTGCGCTTGCACATTGATTTCATCTGTTGGTAGTCTATGCAGTATTTAAGAACACCTTAAGAACATTTTCAGGCTAATTTTGCAGAAAACACCTGATATATAAGAACAAAATCAGCCTGAAACCGCAAAACACGTGTTCTTTTATGCGGGTTTTACTGTAACTGAAATGTTCATCCTGCATAAATATGTTTATTATTCTTATTGTTCTGCCCGAGTATTATATCCAAGCCGCCAAAGGTATGGAAAGAGCTCCAAAAACTGCACTCCCCCTATACGTTTTGTAGCTTGGGTTGTAACCCTCACAAAAAGGAAAAGATTGTCCATGCAGGTTCATCGTGATGTCTTTTTGTCCGACTGGGAAACTCTGGCATTGTTTCTCGGTCTTTCTCGCAAATCCCAGCTTGGCACCATCCTTTGAAACCAAACTCCGCGCTTTCGTTTCTTACTATTCCTCTCCTGGTCTCTTTTGGTGTGCCCCTCTGACATTTGCCTTCAAGGGTTGGTCATGCACATTTTAAAATTGGTGACGGCCTTCGTATCGTCCAATTCTGTCTGTAATCACTCGTGATTAAACAAACTTGTCAATCAATAGTATGATTACAGACCAAATTGGACTCCACTCAGCGCTTTCACCATTACTAATAGATAAACGGGCAAAAAAATACATAGTTGACTTTTTTATTGCTAATGAAAAACAAAGGCATATATAGCAATGGCTCTAATCCTATTCCCTTTTCTGTACCAAAGCCTGTTGATGCTTGCCTGTCTGCCTCGAAGAGACTTTAAGTGTTACAAAACCGACCAAAACAAGCTATTAGTAACGATTTAAAAAAAAGCAGTTGTACGATTACTTCCTTAACGTAACCTTTCCTGTCGAGAAGAGGATGTTCACTCTGAATACTTTCACAACTATAATGCTCGGCAAACAAACTTGATTGGCTCGAGCGTACTGAGTATTGCTAAAATTATCATGAGTATTACATATCCTCCTATCCCATGAATGCAACAGACACAGTTAAGACGTACTGACAATGTTTCTGTTGCAAACCTTGTAATGAATTATTTGCATCAAAGCAAAATCGTTCTACATGTAGCCTACACTGATCAGAGGTTTACCAAGGGTTAATATTTTATGATCAAGTCCAGTTTCTCATTCTATGCCACTTGTAAATTTACTGGCTGCTGTTTTTCTTCGGACACGGAAAATAACATCTATTTCAAGGTCCTTTAAAAAAGGTTTCGTTCCTAACCTAAACTGCTACAAATCCGTTTCTTATAAAAGACAAATCAAAAGTGATGATACAACTTTGTTGATTTTCGAGTTGTCTGTTGCGACTTGAATAAGACTATTAAGCAGTCGGAAAACAAAGCGGTCTTTTAAACGCCTACAAACGGTTCTATTGCAGCCAGCACTGCTTTGGCGAGTCTGAACGCCTCTTGCGCTTGCTGAGAATCTTGGAACACATCAGCAGGAACCTTAGGTGGCACCTGTTTGTCGGGGTACCGAGTGGTGTCGTAGTAGTCGGACAGCCTAGCCACCAATGTAGTGACATCTGGTGCTCCTCGCAGCAACGACAGATCATAGGCCAATTGAACTAAGTCGTGAGTATTAAGCTGCCTGTCCACGATTCCGGAGAAGGCGTATAGTGCGGCCTTGAGAGCTTTCTCTGCAACTTGATGACACTGGAAGCAGACAAGGTAATACAGTGGATCTCGGGCTGCCAAGAGATGTTCAACAGAGCGGAGATCCTCTTTGCTTTGACGCATCCACATCTTGGACAAGCGTGCGTCGGGTCCCGTGTAACGTCTCCTGGAGTGTGATGTGAAACCAGTGAATCTCGGATTATTTCGACGGAAGTTCTCGTAGCTTGAGCGTTGTCTTCGACCTCTTTGATACCACTGCCTAAAAAAGTCTGAAAAATCTGGCTGCGCCCTTGCGAACCCTTCATCACGGCCTCCTGATCCACCTTTTGAGAACTTTTCGACCTCGTTTTGTATGAACTTCATCACTTCATTTGCAATTTCTTGCATGTCCATGTTCTTGTCAGGGTGCCATCGAAGGAAAAGACGTCTAATTGCCTTTTTCTGTTTGTCTTCCGGAAGTTTACGAATTTCAGCCAAAGCTTTTCTCACTTCTTTTAAGGCGTTTTCCAACGTTCTTGGCTTGGGAGGTTCGTTTGCACCTTGGGAAGATGTTGATGATTGCGCTCTTGCTTCCCCTGTATTTTGGCCACTGCTTCCTGCATAAGGCACAAGTTCCATTGTGTCTGAGACAGATTCCTCCTCCATTTCTTTGTCTTCTTCCTCGTGAATCGGTCGTGGTCGTTTGATCTTGTAGAGATCTAGCACATCCACCTCTATCTTCTCACTGCCGATATCTATAAGATACCTGCTAAGAAGGTTGCTCTCTCCTCTCTGTTTTCTCTTTGTCTTGTCCTTTTTTGATTTAGCAAGATTCGGCGTGTTAAGCTTGCGAATGATTTGTGCATATATGTACTTCGGTTCGTCGTCAGTGGAGTCTTCTCTTTCAAATGCAACAAATTCGCCCGGTCGAAAATAAAAGTCGTCATACTGTAACAGAAGTTCGTGGAGCTCTTCTGGTACCTCTGAGCCAAGATCAGGTTCCAAGTGTGGGGTGTCACCTGCTTCCGCGTCCTGGGAGACGCTCGCGTTGTCCAACACGGAAGAAATGCGATCAGGTGACTTGCATTCTAGAATAGCTTGCAGATGCAACCAGCTCTCGTTATCAATTTGACACCCCGTCAGCTGGTTTATCTCTTTACAGAGAACTCTGCGCACCTCATTAGGATCTACTCCATGTTTGATGAAAATGTGCTTTCTGCCATTTGCCTCTTGCTCCACAAAACAATCCATGTGCTTTGATCTACGACTCTCTGAAATTCGAGTATTAGTTCCATTTTCAACTAGCTCGGTGGACAGCTCTTCCATGCAACTTATGCTTAGCTCCTTTTGAAAACTGCGAACGTTGTTACGGACATCCTCTGTCAGTTTAGCTTTCTGGAACTGAAACTTTAAGATTCTCAAGATGCCATCCACAAGCTCAGGAGAAAACAATATTCGGCGGAGGTCATTTGCATTCTGGCATTTCTTCTCGGTGTCAGCCCGGCACTTCTTATCCCTGCACTCTGGATGAAGTTCTTCTCTCACTAATGATGCCAAGGACTGAACTTGTAGGTGAACTGGCAGAAGCTCAACAATTTGGCGAGGTGTGGCAAATGTTAAATTGTATTTTTTCAATGTATCGAGGAACTCGTACATAGAATGTGGTATACGAGACTGGTACTTAATGCAATCAAATAGGACCAGGTTTGTAGAGCGTTGGAGCTTTTGATCTCTGCTTGGAAGGTAAAGAGTTTCGATCTTATCCAGCGGATTGTCTCGCCGATCATCTCCATTGCGGTCTTTTCTGGCCTTTAGAGAAACAAATAGTCCAAATACAGCGTGTTTTGCGACTTGAAGTTCATTAGCATGCATCGTCTCCTCTTGACATGATTCTCTGAGACGACTAAGGAGTTTGGCAAACTGCACGGGGCTAGCTTCCTCCATTGCTCCAAGGCGTTTGAACAAGTGCTCAAAAATCCCGTATTCTCGAGGAACTCTGTACAGGTATGGTGGTAGTTGCTCATCAAGGCGAAACGCCAGCTGGTCACAACGGACAAACACTCGGCCATCTTCAACGAGAATGAAAGAAATTTCAGACAGT